CCTGCTGAAAAGGAGGAGGGAGGGAAGGGGCGGGGGGAGAGGTCTTGCTGGGGAGGGAAGAGGCTAAAGGTGTTTTGAACTTCTTTTTAGCCTTTTCCTAATGACATTTTCCTCTGTGGGAGTGCATTGCCACCTTCCCCACACGTTTATCTTTATTTCACTCCTCCGGGCATTTTCTAGTTCTGAGTTGTCAGCTGGGAGGAGTGAGGTTTACCTCACTCGTGTTGCTGTGGATAAGGGCGGGAGAGGGGGCGTATTACATAATTAATCCTTCCAACTTCACTTTCCAGCCCACTGTTCTCACGTTTCTGTTTTGTTTCTGCACGGAGGAGGTGAGAAAATAATGCTGGTGTGTGGGTGTGTGTTGCTCGAAGGATTTCAAGGACCAGAACAGGATTGCTGCTCTCTCAACAGTTAGAAATAATTTCCTCTGGGGTGCCAATGGGGACCTGAGGAAGAGGTTTGAAGGATTACTTTTGATGCATATTTTAAGCACATAGCCAGATCAGACGCTACATCAGTAACAGATTATGATAGATCTGGGGTTTTCAATTTTTGTGCCCTGTAGCCTATTTTAATGTCTTTTAATTAGAGGTTATCCTCAGCTAACCTCTAGAATACTGACATACAGAATCACATAATCATTGGTGTTGGAAGGGACAGACCTCTGGAGATCATCTAGTCCAACCCCCCCTACTAAAGCAGGATTGCCTAGTAAAGCACATTATACATGAGTGCATCCAGGCAGGTCTTGACAGTTGCCAGAGAAAGAGACTCCACAACCTCCCTGGGCAGCCTGTTCCAGTGCCTTGTCACCCTCACTGTAAGAAGTTTTCCCTCATGTTCAGATGGAACTTCCCAAGTTTCAGTTTTGCCCCTTGTCCTATCTCTGGGCACTACTGAAAAAAACCCTGATTCCATCCTCCTTACACTTGCCTGTTAGATATTTATAGACATGAATAAGGTCTCCTCTCAGCCCACTCTTCTCCAGGCTAAAGAGTCGCAGTTCTCTCAGCCTCTCTTTGTAAAAGATATGCTGTGGTCCCCCAATCACCTTTTTGCCCTCTGCTGGACTCTCTAGTAGTTCCCTGTTTCTCTTGAACTGGGGAGCCCGGAACAGAACACAGTATTCCAGCCGTGGCCTCACTAGGACAGAATAAAGAGAATCACCTCCCTTGACCTACTGGCCACAGTTTTCCTAATGCATCCCAAGATACCATTGGCCTTCTTGGCCATTAACTATTGCCAAAACAACAGGAGGTCCCTGGGCACACAGGATGCTGAAATATTCCTGGGGGTGGGGCAATGGAGACAGATATGTGAGTTAAAGAACAGAGAGCAAAATTATTCTTCTATCCCATGTGGATGAGGAGGTGGAGCCAAGAAAATTAAATAAGCAAAGTTCTTTCTTTTATTTGAATAACTCTCACAAATTCTTCTGACAGATTGTTTGCAATAGTTTTTTGTAATAAATCACATAGAGGTAAGCAACCCCAAGAAGCAGAAGCTGTGTGCTATGTTGTCAGGTGACAATGAAAGTATGCCATGTAGGGCACAATAATACTGTAAGAAAAGGTTTCAGAATACAAGAGTATGTTATAGATTGATTATAGGTATAAAGCTTGAGACTGGACTTCCATGACATCCATACTGGATGAGCCATTTGATCATTCTTTTTTTTTTTTTTTTCCCCCCCCCACAATTTTTTGATTTCCTGCTACTCCTTTTAGCTCTCCTTTATTCTACAACCTCAAGTTCTTTTGTTAGCTCCTCACCACTGCTAATTTTTTCAATAATCACCCACACATTTGTTTATAAAATAGAAATTTTATTTCACACCTTTTAAGCATCAGGCTCAAATAAGGACTGAACTGGAAGCTGGCCATTCCTCCTTTTCTTTGGGACATCCATAGAGCTCTTGAAGATCTTAAAACCCTTCAGACATGAAAACCCTTATAGCTATTGCAGATAGAAGCTATTTTAGAGTATTCCAAAACTATACTCACAGTCTTGGACTATGAAACTCTTTCTCATTAAATGCTTTGATTTCTAGGTGAAGGAATGAGGAAAAAAAAATAATCTGCATATAAAAATTTAAGGTGGCAGCAGTTTTTGTCACAATGTTTTTTTCTGCTCTGTCATGAATATCTGGTGGTTAGTGCGTATGAAGTTTTAGTCAGTATGTATTTGGGCTAACCTACATAGTTTTCATGTCTCTCCTCTATTTCAGGTGATGCACACAGCTAAACTTAGCCTAATCAAGTATTTTAAAAATAAACCAGTGGAGAAAAATAATTAGATTTTTCAAAACTACTCCAGGACATATTTTCCAGTTTTCTCTGACAGCTGGGTCTGTATTTGTGGTACAGCTCAATCACTCTTTAGTCAGCATCAGATTTTCAAAAGCACTTGGCAACTAGCAAAATTGGCAGGCAGAGATTTAATACATCCTTCCTTCTTCTGCTTTAGACATTGCGTGACTTGCCTGACACCTCCTCCTGTCCTCCTCCACTACTTTGTCAACAGAGATGATACCTGACTGCTCAGCCTTGAACCTTGTGCTGATACCTTACAGATACCAGGAAAACTTCCCAGTCTCATGTTTTCCAACATCAGGATGAATGTTTTGGTCCTGAACTCCTCTGGACATCTGCCAGATGGTTGGTGTCCTCACTCAAACTTTCATGTTCTGTACGTGATTGGGGAAACTGCTTTGAAAACACACACCATTTGCTCTAATTTGTTTAATTCCAAACAGGGAAATTATTTTTCCTTCAAGATTTTTTTAATCAGCCATGGGTAGAAGTTATTCCTTGCAAGAATCAATTAGCAATACCAGCAAGAGGCTGAAAGCAGAATGTTTACACATTCAGATGTCTCTGTGCACACACAGATACTTAGCTAGTCCTTCAGTTTGAATACAGGCCTCAGGGCTTTCATACCATTCAGGGAACAAATTCTGCCCTCACACATGTGAATACAAATCCTGCTGACATCTGTGGTTACCTAAGGATGATAGCTGGCTATTGGAACTGGGCAGAGTATTGCCATGAAGAAAATGCCATGGTAGTAAAAGTGCATTTGTAACCAAGCCAGCAGATGTCAAAAACATCTCATTAATTTAAATATTATGTATAAGTACATGTGAAGGTCACTAAGTATTACAAATGAGGAGGGGTGGTGCTGAAGAGAAAATGGAAAGGAAAGCATTTATTATTTCAGTCTTCTAATAATAGTAGCTGTGGCTGAGGCTGCTTTGCTGCTTGCTGAGTATGGCAATAATACTGTGCTGGCCCTCAGAAAATTCAGACTTATTGCCAGCTTTGTCATTAGCTTGGGTGAAATCCAGATGTCTTCTTTGAGATGGGATAATCTTGTGTACCAGTACAGACTGAAAAATTGCATAGCAGTCCTGATGGAAAGCATCTGGGGGTTACAGGGTGGTGATAAAACCAGGTTGAATATGACTCATCATGCTTTCTTACTGCATAAAAGGTGATAATAATCTACATTAAGTATTAGTAGTCATCTACATAAAAGGTAAAGTCATCAGTAGAGACAGGGGAGTATGATTCTTTCTCTACTTGGCACTGGTGAGACAGTATTTTTGATTCTGAGTCCCCTGGTTCAAGACGGAGGTAGATACATTGGAGGTGGTTAAGTCAGACTGCTATGAAGGTGTCTTAGGACAGCAGCCTCTGAGGAGAGTTGGGCTTGCTGGGTATGATGAAGAAGAGGTCAAGGGGCACCCAGTAGTGGCTTATGATTAGCTTCAACAATTGTAAATGACAATTCTGATGACTTCTAGAAAGGCTACACAAGTGGGTCTCCAATTCTCTATGGATTTAGAGGAGCTAAGCAGGATACTGAGAATTGAAATTTCATTACATGTTACATGCTGAGCTGCATAAGTGATTACACAACCTTGTTCAATTCCCTAGTAACTTTTTGAACCATTGCAAATCACAGGCACTCAGAACACACAGCAAAATACCATTTGATAGCTAAGCGTCGTGGTTTGAGCCTAACCAACAGCTAGGAATCAGCCACATGGACACTCACTCACACACCACTTTCCCCCTGCCTTTCCCCCATACATGCTCTGTAGGATGGGAAAGACAAAGGCCAACTAGAAGTTCTGGGTCGAGACAAAGGACAAGGAGGGTTTCACTCACCAGTTATGGCCATGAATCAAATTTAGGAAAAAAATATAAATTTAATTAATCATTAATAAAATGCACACAGAACAAAGACAAGACAAAGAACAGTGTTTAAATACTTTACCTCACCCTTCCATTCTTCCCAGACCCAAATCCCTTTGTTCCCAGTTTCTTTCCCTCCTCCCTGCCAGTGGCACAGGGGGACAGGGGATGGGGTTTAGAGTCACTTCACAGGCTGGGGGTTCCTGCTGCTCCTGCCTCCTCAGGAAGAAGGATTCCTTACAGTCCTTCCCTGCTTCCCCATGGGTTCCCTCT